TTAGTCAGATTTCGCACATGAATACGAGAAGAATAAAGTAGATGCCTATTATTACGGCAAGTTTAATCTCTTTTAGGTTGGATTTGTACCTTCATCCCCAAACTTCCAGTCATGGTTCCCGACCTATTAGAGTAAACGATCTCCTAGATCGTTAAGGGGTGTAACCTTCACCCTGTGAATGGTATACAAGTTCCTAAAACTTGTTAGCGACTTTTTTACTCTAGCTTCCTTCCCTTTGGACGCCACCTTGCTTAAGTGTATGATCAAAGTGAGGCTCAAGTGTGGGATGGCTTGAAATATTTCCTACATGGATAGATCTGAAAGGATGATTGGATTGAGCCAAAGTACTTACATTGATAAGGTATTGGCACGATTCAACATGGAGGAGTCCAAGAGTGGTCACCTACCCATGTCACGTTACATAACCCTAAGTAAGAAGCAGTGTCCAAAGACACCTGATGAGCGAGAAAGGATGAATCAAATTCCATATGCTTCGCTTATTGGATCAATCATGTATGCCATGATATGTACTAGGCCAAATGTATCGTATGCCTTGAGTGCTACGAGCAGATACCACTCAGACATAGAAGAGGCGTATTGGACTGCGGCCAAGAATAACCTAAAGTACATGAAAAGGAACAAGGATAAATTGTTGGTATATGGTGGCCCATATGATTTAGTTATTGAGGGTTACACCGACGCAAGCTTCTAAACAGACAGAGACGATTTCAAATCACATTTAGGATACGTATTCTTTCTAACTGGAGGAGCGTTTAGTTGGAAGAGTTCTAAACAAAGCACAACTGCATATTCTACAATTGAAGTCAAATACTTGGCAGCTGCTGAAGGAGGCAGTTTGGATTCATAAGTTTGCTGGTGAACTTGATGTTATACCCTCCATCAAGGGTCCAATAGCCCTCTATTATTACAATAATGGAGCTCTTGCTTAGGACAGGGAGCTAAGGGAACATTAGAAGGTCAAACATGTCTATATAGGATATCTGCCGCTGAACTATCGCCCAGCCCCCAGGGCGCGCACTCACTGCCGAGAAAGCAATTAAGGAGGGCTCATCAGCCCGGTGGAGTCAGCCCGCAGGGCTGACCAGGCTGAACTCTCCACGAAGGAGATGGTACGCCTATAAATAGAGGGTAAAGTACAACGGAAAAGAGGTTAGACACTCAAGTTATTATACTTTCTACATCTCTCTAATTACACTTTCTCTCTCTAAACACTCTCTAACTTAAGCTTCGGAGGGAGGTTCCTCGAGCCACCCCAAGGGCAGTTTACGTGTACTGCCTTGTGTAGGTTGTTGACGGGACCCAGCTCATCAAGCAGAACCCTTGGATTTATACCTGGAACAATTGGCGCTAGAAGGAGGGGAAGGATCATCTAACCTGAGATTCACCAACTGAGCTAGGGACTAGTTAACTAAACACCATGGTCGGAGAAGAAACTGTACCGACACCCATGTCAAAAGCTAATGAGATCAACCAAACACCACAAAAAACACCCTCAGTAACCCTCGATCCAAAAGGATCCACCGGAAATCCCAAATCGACCATCTCTTAGAAATCCAACCCCATTGGATCGACATCTGTTGTAGCTAAAGCGACGTCGAAACCAGTCGATCCAGCAAGATCCAATTCCATTTTCAAATACGGAATGTCGTTAACAGGCGCGAACAATGAGGTCATTGTTTCAGCACCTGTAACCTAGAAACCGCAGCCCGTAAATATGCCAGCCATCTTGCAGAACCTCTCTAAGTGCAGTAAGGAGCAGCTGACAACAATGACGGCGGTCCTTACCAATATGGGTAAGGGGGCGAATCCGTCACCGACAACGGCAACTGCAGAGCCCGCAGCAAAGAAGCCGGCTTCCTCAGCCCTCACCCTTGAGCAAAAGGAGCTCATTCAGCTAAGGAAGAGGGTATTGGAGTTGGAAGCTCGTAATCTGAATCAAGAATGGAGCGTGGAGGAAATAACTCCGGCTCAGGTCAGCCCGGAGAAGCGGGTCCCCCGTAGCAGGTCGCTAGCCTCAGAGCGGGGACCTAGCCCAGAGAGAGACAAGCGAGCGCGAATCCAGGTCGTTCCAGATGATTCCCTATTTTACCGGGAGATTCTAGAAGAACCAATGGAGAAGATAAAGATGCCGAGCTGCAAATACAACAGAACCACAACACCCTAAACTCACATATCAGCTTTTGAGAACCACATGGTACTTTATACTATGACGGACTCAGTCTGGTGTAATACTATGACGGACTCAGTCTGGTGTAGGGCGTTCTTGCCGACCCTAGAGGGGCTGGCAGCGGAGTGGTATGGAGCTATTCCCAAATGTTTCGTATACTCGTATAACCAGCTAAAGAGAATGTGCATGGAGCATTTCATAACCCCGGTAGACTGAATTAAAATGACAACCGAGCTGATGTCATTAGTTCAAGGGAAAGACGAGCCCCTGAGGGAGTTTATCACCAGATTCAACAAAGAGGCAACAACCATCCCAAATATGTAGCACTACTAGCAATGCAGAGTGGCTTACTACCAGGCTCACCATTCAGAGCGTATATGGGGCGTAAAAGCCTCAAAACACTTGCTGAAGCGCTAGGTAAAGCGCACGAGTTCATCAAAGTAGACGAGACTGACAGAGCAATGCTGAGTAGGAAGGCACCAGGTGACTCAGTTAAGCGGGCAGAGGTCACCCGGGCAGAGAACACATCCAGGGCTGACCAGCCGAGCAAAGTCGCAGAGAAGCGGACAGAGCAGTGGGGATGAGAAGGTCAGACCCGAAGAGGGGGCCAAGGCCTTGGAGGTTCGACCAATATACCCCACTAACCCACTCAAGGTCTCATATATTCAGCGTGAATAAAGCTGATGATAAGTGGCAAAGACCCCCAAGGATGGTTAATAGAAACCGTGATACCAGCAAGTGGTGTGACTTCCATAGAGACCATGGCCACACCACTGAGGAATGCACACACTTGAAGGATAACATAGAAGATTTAGTCAGGAGAGGGTACCTGAATCAGTTTAAGCAGCGCGATGACCCTCCTAGAAGGAAGGATGAGGATAGAAAAGGCCGCGCTTACCGTAGAGGAGGTCATAGGGGTCCCGCTGGAGACAGAGACAAAGATGGCAAGCCAGAAGGCAGGGTATATGTGATCAGTGGGGGTCTAGTGCATGGAGGAACAGTAAACAGAGCACGGGCTGACCTGCGGGCGATGATACATCAGATAAACGATAATGAGAAGCGTAGATGGCAACCTCTTCCCCCGTAGCCACGAGCCACATTTGACGAGTATGACCAGGAGGGCATAATTTACCCTCATGATGATCCACTGGTAGTGACAATGAGAATTGAAAACTGGGAAGTGGATAGGATATTGATAGATGGAGGCAGCTCGACCAACATCATATACATCAGCGCGTTCAACGAGTTGAAGTTGGACAAGAAGGATTTGAAGATGGTGAGTTACGAAGTCACCGGGTTTAATGGATCAGGGCTAACCCCGGAGGGCATAATCGAACTCTTAGTCCGGGTGGGTGAAAGATCAAGAAGGCGTGATGTTTGAGTAGAATTCCTTGTGATAAACTCTCCTTCACCCTACAATGTGATCATGGGAAGACCACTCATCCACAACATAGGCGGAGTGGTATCCACCTATCACCTTGCCATGACCTACACAACTAATGAGGGACGGTCAGCAAAGCTCAGGGGAAATCAGAAGATGGCTCAACAATGTTACATAATTGCCCTAAAGCAGCCCGCAAAAACCAGACAGCAGCCTGGCTCAGAGAGTAGGCCCCCTAAGCAGGCTGAGAGGAAGTCAAGGAAAAGGAAGCTTGAAGAACATTACACGGAAAAGGATAAACAGAAGTTAGCAATGGAAAACTTCGAGCCTGCAAAAGAGGAGATGGCTAGACCACTTCCCAAAGGGGAGCATTTCATAGTCAAGCTCACAGAAGGTGACCCCTCGAGAACGGTGAAAATTGGGAAAGTCATTGATCCAGGAGTAGGGGTACACCTCGTAGAGTTGCTGAGGAAGAACAAGGATATTTTCGCATTTTCCGCAAATGAGATGCCCGGAATTGACCCTGTAGTCATGGTACACAGGCTGAATGTGAAGGAGGATATTAAGCCAGTTAGGCAGAAAAAGCGAAGCTTCTCCACGGAGAAAAATCAAGAAATCCAGGAGGAGTTGGAGAAACTCTTGGAGGCAGGATTCATTGAACCTTGTGATTACCCAGAGTGGTTAGCCAACGTGGTCATGGTGAAGAAAGCAAATGGCCAGTGGAGAATGTGTGTTGATTTCACATATCTCAATAAGGCATGCCCAAAAAACTATTACCCACGGCCACGGATCGATCAGCTGGTAAACTCAACCAGGGGCACGCCTCGCTAAGCTTCATGGACGCCTTCTCAGGGTACCATCAGATCAGCCTGTATGAACCAGACCGGCAGAAAACCGCATTCATCACCGGATGGGGAGTGTACAATTACATAGCTTTGCCCTTCGGGCTGAAGAATGCTGGGGAAACCTTTTAGAAGGCAATGGATAGGGTATTCCTACACCAGAAGGGCAGAAATGTTGATTTATACGTTGACGACTCAATTGTTAAGAGCGTCACACAGGCAGGGCATATCATGGATCTGGAAGAAACATTTGCCACCCTGAACAAGTATAAAATCAAACTCAACCTGAAGAAATGTGTCTTTAGAGTGAGCTCAGGAAAGTTCTTGGGTTTTCTGATCAGCGAGAAGGGGGTAGACGCAAATCCAGAAAAGGTCGAAGCAGTCCTAAGCCTGCCTGAGCCTAAGTGCATTAAGGATATCATGCGGTTGACGGGCAGAATGGCCGCGCTGACTAGGTTCATCAGCAAGTCAGCGTATAAGGCTCTGCCGTTCTATCAGCTACTGAAAGGGAACAGAGAATTTAAGTGGGGGAGCCAAAGAAAAAGAAGCCTTTGAGGGTATTAAGGAGCATCTGACTAAGCTCCCAACAATGATCAGCCCGGAGCTGAGGGAAAAGTTGCAACTGTACATCTCTGCGTCAAAACAGACCATCACAGTCGTTCTGCTGGTGGAAAGACAAAAGCAGCAGAGGCCAATCTACTTCGTGAGCCATGTACTGACTAAGGCATAACAAAGGTACCCATTGGTAGAGAAGCTGGCCTTTGCAGTGGTCACCACAGCAAGGAAACTAAAACCATATTTTGACGCGCATGTAATACAAATCCTCACAAATCACCCATTGGAAAAAGCATTACAGAAAATAGATGCATCAGGCAGACTCCTAAAGTGGGCAATTGAACTTTCTGAGTACGAATTCGAGGTCAAACCTAGGGCAGCCATCAAGGCACAAGCCTTAGCGGACTTCATAGTGGAATCCTCCTATGAGGAGAAAGAGGATGATATTGGGGTCTGGAAGGTGGAAGTAGATGGATCCTCAGCCCAAACGGGAAGTGGAGCAGGAGTCATACTAACATCCTCATGAGGGAAATGTATTCGAGTACGCCATAAAATTCAAGTTCAAAGCATCAAACAACGAAGTAGAGTACGAAGCAGCGCTGGCAGGCATGCGTATGAACATCGCAGCGGGAGCCCGCAAAGTACATTTGCAAACTGATTCTCAGCTCGTCGCCAGCCAATTGTAGGGAGCGTACGAGATTAGAGAAGTCGCCATGCTGAAATATGTAACTAACGTAAAGGAGCTGGCAGCTCAGATAGTCCACTTTCAGATAGACTTAGTTCCCTGAGCAGGAAATTCCCAGGCTGACGCTTTATCTAAGTTAGCTAATTCCACATTACAGAGCCTCACAAGGACAGTGATGGTTGAAGTCCTAGAGGAAAGCAGTATTACCGAAAAGGAGCAGGTAAACTGCATTGGACAGCAGAGGGCTTGGTTTTTAGACATTCTGGCATACAAAGTTCATGGCTCGCTGCCCGATGACGAAGTACAAGCTAAGAAGGTGTAGAAGGACGCCAGTTGGTATGTGGTGATGAATGGGGAGCTCAACAAGAAAGGCTTCTCAAAACCACTACTAAGATGCATCCTAGAGTGGGAGCAGGAAGGCATTATGGAAGAAGCCCACTCGGGAATATGCGCTAACCACATTGGTGGAAAGGCATTGGGAGTAGAAGTCCTCAGCACGGGGGCATACTAGCCAACTCTCTCGCGAGACGCGCTAGCATATGTAAAAAAATGCGACAAGTGTCAAAAGTATTCACCGGTTATAAACCAACCAGCAAATGATCTAACTCCAATCCTCAGCCCGATCCCGTTTGCTCAGTGGGGAATGGACATATTGGGACCCTTCACCACTAGGTCAGAGGGCAGGAAGTATCTCATCGTGGCAGTAGATTACTTTACAAAGTGGATAGAAGTTGAACCCACTAAGTACATAAAGGCAGTCCAAGTAAGGACATTCATATGGAAAAACATCATCACAAGATTCGGTGTGCCATAGTGCATAGTCTTTGATTATGGATGTCAGTTTGACTGTAACACCATCAAGGACTACCTGGAGGACATGGGCACCAAGTATGCAAGTGCCTCAGTCTGCCATCCGCAAAGTAATGGCCAGGCAAAAGCAGCAAACAAGTTGATCCTAACATCCTTGCAAAGGAAGCTGGAGGAATATAAATACCTATGGGCAGACCTAGTCCCAGAGGTCTCGTGGGCAAACAGAACCACTAAGAAGGAGTCCACTGGTAAAAGCCCTTTCACCCTGGCCTATGGGGCTGATGCAGTCGTCCCAGTGGAAGTGCAAATTCCCAGCCTAAGGATACAACATTATAAGCAACAAGGAAACGAAAAGCGCATGCTAGAAGAGCTAGATTTCCTGCCAGAAGTAAGGCTAAAAGCAGCTCTCAAGCTGGTAGCACAGAAGAGCAGGATTTCAAAAGCTTTCAACAAGAGGGTCAAGCATATAGAGCTCCTGCCCGGAGATTTAGTCCTCAGAAGGACAACAGCAGTGGGAAGAGGAAATCAGCATGGAAAGTTGTCAGCGAAATAGGAAGGCCCATTCATCATTCACGAGCAGGTTGGACCAGGAGCATTCCTCCTTGTAGATCAAGAAGGTCAGATCTTAAGAAACAGTTTCAATGCTGATGTGTTAAAGAAATATTTTGTTTAAATAGCCTGAAAAAACAAATATAGTTGTTTCAAGTTTGATAAACCTTTATTTAGTTCATGTTATGTTAATTAAGGCATTTGAGCCATTTTTATTCAATGAAATACAAGCCTCTGCGTGAGGAGTATGTTGCGTAAATCTGTTTAATATGTTATGCCCCAGCATCATATGCTAACATGCAGAAGTCAAACAAGAATAATTAAAAAATGTTATAGGCAAGAAACACTCTAGCACAAAATGGCAAAGTACCGTTAAAACGACAAGTTAAAGCATCCCTCCCTAAAACCTCACTTCACCTGCTCAAAGCAAAATAGGGGACCACCTCGGGGACGCTTGAGGGGGAGGCCTGGCACGTTCAGCTTGAGCAGGAGAGAAAAGGGGAAACGAAGAAGATAAGCTACGTGGGCAACACTAAGGTTCTCTTAGTCCCACTTAGCCCACCTCTTTGAGGGGGAGAGGAAAGGAGGAGACAGACATACAATAAGCCCTTATGAAAAGAAGTAAGTAGGCATAAAATGACAAGTCACAGCATAAACAAGTTGAACGACATAAACAAGTCACAACATAAACAAGCTGAACAACAGAAATAAGTCACAGCAAAACAAGCTGAATGACATAAAGGGAGCAGGTAAAAAAGCTAATCGACACAAATAAGTTTTAGCAGGGCAGATTAAATAACGCGCAATCGAATAAACTAATCAGCATGCAAACCAGTCTCTACAAAAATCAAGTAGAGTACATAGTGCACAAGCATCCAAAGCAAACAGGACAGGAAGAGCAAAGCTCACCAGAGCTCCTGCTAAGCACAACAGGGAGAAGGAGAGCAAAAGAGTCCTCAGCAACCAAATCAGGAAATCAGTGAAGCCCAACCTACGACGTTTCACCGAATACAACAAAGAGACTGATGTGCTAAGGTTTAGGTACTACTACACCTTGGCCCAGCAGCGATTCCAGAAAAATACGCAGACTATGAAATAATCAGCAGGTAAAATGACAGAAGCATTCAGCAAGATAAATCATCATAGTTACAAAGCTGAACCCCTGCCCATTAACGCAGAGTAAACATCCAGCAAGTTAATTACAACATATGCAACACTGAGCCCTCGTCCACCAAGACAAGGAAACACTCAGCGAACATAGTTGGAAAAATATAAAGTTAAGCCAAGCTGGACAGGTCCAGCAACAAAAGATAAAATGTGCAATAGAAACACAGAGAAATATAATCTTTGGCGGCTATACACCCCAAAGATAGCAACAAAAACTACTTGGTTACCACATATCTAGGTGAGGGGAACTTAGAAGAACCACTAGAGTAGGAGGGTGACAACCGCCATAGCCTTTATTAGTCACCAGCCAAAGACTCCACTCCAATAGTTGCATCAACATCAGGGCAGTGAGGAACCTCCAAGTTCAGAACAGCGTGGTCAGGAACCTTGCAGCTAACAACACGATGATGATTAGCAAGGAAATCAAATGCACCAGCCTCTCCCGCAACCTCAACCTTAGCCCAAAAAGTGTTGAAACGAGCCTGCTGCTCCTCACCCTCACCATATAAGCTGCTTACGCACCGAGCTGCAGCCTCCCATCCACCATCATGGCGACCAACCAGCAACTTAGCAAAAGCAGGGGAGAGCACGAAGGCTTTGAGTGCCTCCTTCCTGGCAGCTTCCAGCTCAGCAGTGTGCGCAGCTCGTAGATCTGCAACCTCTGCCTCCAACGTTTACACCCTGGCTTGAGAGGTCTTTAGTTGCTCCTCGCAGTTCTTCAACTTGGTTTGAGTGAGCTGAAATTCTTCCTACTGGAGCTGCAGGGCGTCTGCCCTCTCCCTCAGTGGAGTCACCTCGCTAGCCATATCATCCCTCTCAGCCTGAGCTTACTGAACCTCCAAATTCTTCTGAGTGAGAGTTATGCCTTGATTCTGATACTCCTTCTCCACTGACAACAGAGCATTGGATAAATCTCCAACAAACATAACAAGCTGCAAGAAAGGCAGAGGGAAAGAGGAGTGAGCCAAAGAAAAAGTTAACTAAAAATAAAAGTAAAACAAGACAGTAACAACAGAGCAAGCAAAGAAAAGCTAAAATGAAAAAGAGAAAGATCAAAAGCAGAAACTAACCTTCTGCAGGTCATGGCAGGCCGTAGTAGCTGGGAGGCTGACTGAGCTGCGTGTAGAATCAGCAGGAAGACGAACCCCTTGAGTCAAGCGGTACTCCAATGTACCACCTTTCTGAGGGTCGTTCACAAACAAAGACTCATCAGCTCTCACATTCATCAAGGGTCGAAAGGGAGCATTCTTAGCTCCAGCAGGGCAGAGTATTGGGCGGAGATGGACATCATTGGGATCCTCAGAAAACTCAATAGCCCCAGTAGAGCAGAAAGTTCCTCCAGCAGAAAGTGAGGTAGCAGACAGAGGGTTCTCAAAAGCACCACTCAAGAATTGGTGAACACAACGGTTAAATTCACTGGAATTCTAAGTGTCCACCCCCCTATCAGCATTCCCACCTGGAAGCCCGGTGTTGGCGGATGTAGATGCAAGAGGATCAGGACTAGGAAAGGGCGAGCCTTTTTTGCTTCCGGCTCATCCCAGCAGGGGCAGAGGACACTGGATCATCCTCCAAGTCGATAATTAGACGATCTTGCTGGTGAGAACCCCCTGGCCGGGAGAGCCCACCCCTTGAAGCACTTTGAAGCCGCCCTCTCAGCCTGTAGGGACGCGACAGAAATCTAGGAAGCTCCATGATAGTCTCGTCAGGGAGCTGGAAGTTAGTGGCTGCAGTAAAAGGGACATCAGTATCCTTCGCAGCAATAGCATCATCAACAGAAGAAGGAAATAGCAGAACATGCTCAGTAGAAGAAATGGGTTTTTCACCCACAATAGCGGTCTCAACCCCTTTAGAGGAAAACTGGAGAACACTATCAGCAAAATCATCGGCAGTAGCTTTTGGATCATCAAAAGCTTGATCACATTGTCCTTTGGCAGCACAAGTCTGAGGTGCCACCTGGTCGGAAGCCGCGACAGACTGCTTCTCAGGGGAAGCATCAAGCGCCACTAACGCCTCAGATTCTGAAGCCACCCTTCGAGGAGTAGGGCGAGTCTCACGCCTACTCCCAACAGTAGAGGACGAAGGCTCAGCCTTAGCGAGGCTGGACCCAGCACGCTCACTAGTAGTTGTTGTGCCAACGACAGCCCGCAGCTCAGCAGGAGCTAGACGCACTTCACCCTTTAGAGAGCCCACAAACACCTCCAGCGTGTCAAAGAGCTGAGGAGGATTCTCAGGGGTAGCAGTCAAAGGGTCTTTCCAATTATCAGCCAGCCCAAGCATACGCTTGTCCAACTTATCTTAGCCTGAAAAGAAAAAGGGCAGAAAAGTCAAATAATGCAAAGAAAAATTAAAAAAAAAAAAAAAAGAGACGAGAGACGAGGAAAAAAAAGAAAAGACGGAAAGTGGAAAGCTTACCAGACTCATGCGTACAGCACAAACGCATGGCAGAGAGCTGCTCATTGCCCACAATATAGATGGAGTTGGGCAGCCAGACCTTGGGGAACTTAGAATCACCAGTCCCCGCTCCTTGCAGAGCCTCAAAAGCTTTTGTCTCACGGGCAGGCTCAGTAGGGAAGACTGTGACTCCAGCCATGTTGGTGCGGATCTCTCTAAAGTTGCGCGGGGCAGCAAAATTAGAAGGCACCTTCACCTAGAAAAATTTGTCAGTTCAATCCCTGAAGCGACCAAGTTTTGGGTAGGACAAGACCCTGCTCTCCTTGGGAGCAACATAATACCACCCTGTCTCAGTCCCAGAAACAGATCTCTTCAGGCTCATCAGAGACTTAAACAAGTGCAGGGACTCAGGGTACCTTCAAAATCTTAAAAACCACAACAAGCAGATCAAAGTTGTGAAGGGAAGTAGGATGCACCAGAGATATACAAATACTGAAGGCACGTAGCAACTTATCTAGGGTAGGGTCCAGGGAAACCTTAAGCCCAAATCCAGCTGTGAAGCGAACACAGCAATGTGACCAGCAGAAGGAGTTGATAGCTTCACACCATCAGTAGGGAGAACCAGCCCATAACCTTCCCCGAAACCATATAATTTCTGCCCAACAGCAGCCAAATCCAGCCTCTTAGCATCTTTACGCCAGCTAGAGTCCAACACACTATTTTTGGGCCCATAACATTTTTCATCCAGAAAAAACTCAGTTTTGCCCTCCTCTACGGGCTCCACAACGTAAGTGGGCTGACAGTCATAATAGGAGCGGCCACCAGGAGACTCAGTCATCCTGCCTGATTGAACAGCTAGAGAAGGAAACGGTGATGGAGTCTCTGTGTTGCCACCTCGCACTACATAATGATAAAATCTATGTACGTCAGCCATGTTATCAGGCTAAGCAAAACTGTTTAAAGGCTGAACATGGGAAATGGGGCTAACAAGAGACACGTTAGGGGGATTAGCCTTGACAGCGTCAGCTAACATTTTATGACGCATTGCGCGCATCCTCAAACGGGTGAGATGGGATAAAGGAATCCCATCCAGCATGAGCACCCGCTCGCAATAAGGATCAAAGAAATCAGGACGGGGTTTGCGCTAGAAAGGGCGAAAAGCACTACCCTCAACGGGATGACTACTGCCTGACTCAGACGCAGCAGCAGGAGTCGCAGCAGTACCCACTCCGCTCGTAGCGAGGGGAAAGTTAGAAGGCATAGCAGTTTGTACAGGAGTAGGAGAAGAAGAAGGAGAAACAGGGGAAGTGTGCGCAGAGCGCTCACCTGAAAGAGAGGATCGGGAAGAAAAACCCTATCCAGTGGTCGTTTGAAGCTCACTCATGTTCTAACTATCAAAAGCGTCAGACATTATGAAATCTACAAAGAAAAACAAGCCCACAAAGA